TGATCTGGTGCCCTCTTGTGGCATGTAAGTACATGCAGATAGAGCACTCATACATTAAATAAATAAATAAATCTTAAAAAAATTCAACCACAAAAGTTCTGTAGAGATCAGTTGCAAACTCTTAATGATTTTCAAAATTAATGGGAGGTGTTAAATGGCTATGGCCAATAACTGGATTAACTACTCATGAGTTAAGTAATTCGTTTCAAACTTTACAAGGTGATTTGAATTTAAACAGCCCAAGATGGTTAACAGCTGAAGGAGAGAGAGTTAACTCAGGTAGAATAGAGACTATAAGATACATATGTGGATCAAATTGATCCTAAACTTGAATGTATTTTGGTTATTTTGTCTTCAACTCATACTCCTACTGGACTCCTTATGCAAAGAGAACAGACCCAGCTGAAACCATGATGCCTTTTACTAATGCTGAGATTATGTCCTTATGGATAAGCAATGAAGATTGGCAAAGAGCTTGTAGTAACTATTTGGAGAGAAATTAATAGCATATATCCTAAAGCAAGTATCTACACTTTATAAAAATAAAACTAATTGGATTCTCCCAGTTATTGTAAAGGAAACACTGATTGCTGAAGCACCTACATTCTATATTGATGCAAATAAGTTGGGAATATAATTACAGATTCTTAATATGCAGAAAGAATTGTTTTGAATATAGAAATTGCTGAATTTTTCCTGATGGTTCAGAATTAACCAGATGGATAAGAAATTGTTATTTATACAACTGCAATGGGCAATCAGAAATAGGAGTTGTCTATTATATATTACTCATATTCAGTCTCATATAGGTTTACTAGGTCCCTTGGCACAAGAAAATGAGGAAACTGACTGATTATTAATAGGAAATGTGTTAGAAGCTTCAAAATTTCATGAAAATCATCATGTTAAAAGTAAATGTTTAAAGAAAAAAATTACCACTTGGCAACAAGCCAAGGAAATTATAAGAAAATGTCCTAGTAAGCTGGAGAGATGGCTCAGCAGTTAAGAGCACTAACTACTCTTCCAGAGGTCCTGAGTTCAATTCCCAGCAAGCACATGGTGGCTCATAACCATCTGTAGTGGGGATCCAATGTCCTCTTCTGGTGAGTCTGAAGACAGTGACAGTGTACTCACATACATGAAATAAATAAATCTTTTTTAAAAAAAGAAAAGAATAAAAAGAGAATGTCCTACTTATTCTCTGTATAAAACCAAACTCCAGAACCCACTGGAAGTAATCTTTGGGGTATCAAAGGAAATGAACTCTAGCAGATGGATGTGTTTCATTTTGCAGAATTTGGGAAACTAAAGTTTGTACATTATACCACTGATACATATTCAGACTCCCAATGGGCAACTGCTTTGAGTTCTGAAAGAGCTGATTCTGTAATTACACATTTACTGGAAGTCATGGCTATTGTGGGGATACCTACACAATTAAGACTGACAGTGTTCCCACATTTGTTTCCAGTAAGATGAAGCAATTCTTTGCATATAATAATATAAAGCCCATTACAGGTATACCACACAATCCTATAGGACAAGCAGTTGTAGAAAGATCTAATCACACTTTCAAAGAAATGCTCACAAAACAATAAGGAAGAGTAAAGACCTCCAGGGATAGATTAAATAATGCTTCTTAGCTTTAAATTTCCTTAATGCTAATGAAAAAGGAACAACAGCAGCTGAGAGACACTAGGTTATAAAAATAACTGGGGAATTAAATAATCCTATATTCTATAAAGATGTGAAGATTCCAACAGAATGGAAGCTTGCAACAGTTTGGTATTGAGGACATAGTTTTGTTTATGTTTCTACAGGGAACAAAAAGATATGGCACCATTAAAACGAATGAAGATTAGATTTAACCAGGAAAGACCTCCTACTAACTAATGAATGTCTCTTCATAGCCAGTTAATCTTCTGGCTGCCTGGGTCTCATGACTAATCACACGCCATCCTTTCATATAGCATGGATGGAGATTTATATTACGGTTTGGTCACACAATCCATAAGGACTTACAAGGTTGACAAATGCCTCTCACATGCTCAAACAAAGAGCAGAGAATCATCAACTAAGTTGTGCACACTGCACGTTCCACATACATGTTAATGTAGAAATGTACCTACAATATTGCCTTTAAAAGTCTGTGTGTTTGCAGAGCAAAAAGACCAGACTCCAGTGAAGACAAAGCAAGTAGCCCAGCTGCTGAGGTGATCCAGCCTCACAGAATGCCTCAGCTGCTGTTTCCTCAAAACCTGCATCCAAGACAACGTCAAAGTGACTTTCCTTAAACTGTTCAGCCTCACAGACTGCTTCAGCCAGGACTTCAGTTAAGCCCTGTGTTTTCCCATCCCACAGAGACTGGGAAGCAAATAATACAGCTAGATCCCCCAGGACTTGGCCAATATCCCAATTTTCTTCGGGTCCCTAAAAGATGTCTTCACTTCCAGAGAGTAGGAAGCAATTTAAAGAATACAATGTCCTAATTCCCAAGAGGTGGAGTGGGTAGTTTTGGGGCATTTTATGGGTGATGGATGTTTGTCCTTGTTTAGGGGAGTTGGTCACAAATTGTTGATGGTCATGGTCAGGGAGGAAACAAAGTAAAAGAGGTTAGAATCAGAGATCTCTTTCTCTCTCTCCTTCTATCCTCCCTTATCTCCTGTCTAGTGTTAGGGGAAGGAGGGGAAGGGGATAAAAGGATAAGGGGGTATAGGCATGAGAGAATAAAAGGATTGTATCTCCTTTAAGACTAAGAAAGAAACAACTAGTCTCAAATATTTTACATTGTTATGTATTATTGTATATTGATAGAAATGTAAGGTTATATTTGCTACAATATACTATATATATATTTCAAATTTTGTTTAAGATATTGTACATATGCAACTCATTTAAAAAATTGGACATAAAGTTTGAGTCCTTGAAAGCTACTAGTGTAAACTATTCAGGATAATTAAGAAATGTACGTTAGTAGTTACCTAAAAGTAATCAAAGTTGTAGTCTTGTTAGGTACTAGTTTAGTTAATTTTAGAAATAAACTTTATTTAGCTTCCTGTACATGTTTTCAAAGTTAAACAAAAAGTAAATAGCTAGAAACAAGCAATGCTTGTCTATTCAGATATACTTAAGTCCTCAAACACTTCAGAGATCAGAAGAATATAGCAATTAAGATGTTTTAATAATAAAGGCTTGAGAGAGAGAGAGAGAGAGAGAGAGAGAGAGAGAGAGAGAGAGAGAG